TTATTTTATTTTTTTACATATTTTTCTGGAGATATTTAACTATGAATGTTAGTACAAGTTCATGTTCACGGTTCGTGTGCACATTGACTATTTAGAATACATTTTTAATTAGTTATATTTTATATTCATATTTTACCTATTATATGAACTCTCTCGAAGTGATTTATTTTCTAATTTTCTATTTGATTTTTTGAATGTATAAGTGTGTTTTCTATTTAGAAATTTATCAATTAGATGAAATGTTTTTTGCGCGTAGCGACTGAGACGGTTTTTTTGCTTAGTTAGTCGGTTCTCTTTAGGGCAACTAAAGTGTCGATGTTAGTGACTTTAAATATTTTGCTACGGAAAATAGCGTTCGATAAGACTAAACTGCCGTCTGTACGCTTTAGCTGCCCCTCAGAATAAAAAAAAATTTAACCTAGCGAATAAGATATTTGAGTTTTATATTATTATTTTGCTACCAAATACCAATAAAGTTCGTGATTTATATTTTTTTTTGTTTTGTTTCGATTTTTTTTCAGTTTTTTCGCTTATTTCCGGCATTTAAACGCAGTTTGACTGGGATAAACGTTAAAAATCCCATACAGGGATTATTGCAAAAACCCGACAAATTTCTCTTAATGGTATTGAAAAAAATGACCAAAATTCGGAGTTTTTTATAAAGGCCTGGATTTTCGAATATTTTTAGAAAATGCTATTTGTGAAAAATTTTGGGGACACTTCGGGGAATAGATCAGCTCAATACTACATAGACACGTTTTTTAGCATTTCTTCGTCAAAAACGCCAAATTCTAGTTTATATAATTCCTCAACGGTGATCAAATTATTTAATAAACGATGCATAAAATCGCCTGAAAACTGAAAGAAGAAAACGAACAGATTCAAGATATTTTTCAAAAAAATTGAGCTTGAAAATTGGTTTTGTGCCTGGAATTTAACAACACCCTGTATATTTACGTTTGCAACCTTAATGCATCCTTTTGGGCGAAATTAGTCTCAATTCTCAACTCAATTTAATAGAAAATCTACTTATTTATCCTGATATACAGGATGTTGAGCATAAATGACTCAGTCACTTCTTCGTAATAAGATTATTTTCCTCAGGGACTATTAAATACTTAGACTTTTGCTGCCCAAAGCGTCAGTCTTCTTCGGTTGAAGTAGACTTTTACAGAAAGCGATTTGAAAATATACCGAATGTTTTCAAAATAGACGGCAATAACTTCGGTTGTTCTTGTCCAGGTTTTCTTTAAGCTGTTTAAATCGCTTAAAATTGAAAGAACTGTGAATTGCTGGCATTTTTCGCATATTCGGGTTAATTCCCGTTCAATCCTGGATAAAGCCGTTTTTTTGTGGGTTTCTCTGTCAAAAACCCCCAGATTTGGGCTGAAAATTATGTTCTTTTACAGCTTTATTTAAAGGCCTTTAGCTGATTTTAATGAGTTTTAATTTTCACACAAATTCGCTGTTTTCCACTTACTTCTCCGAAATGAGATTATTGTTCTCGACTATTTTATTCAATAGCCCAGTTTGTTACACTTCTGCTGCCTAAAGAAACTATACTGATGCAAAAAAGGACTAAAATTTATAGCTTGTTTTTTGAATTTTAATTTAATTTTTTTTGTAGTCTCTCCGTTCTCTTGTACACTTCCATAAGTTAGGACAGCTGAAAAGTTTTCGCATTTTAAATTTTTTCTAAAAATCGTGTTTAAAATACAGGAAAAGTACAAAAAATTGTCCTTTTTTCTTTATATTTTTTATAGTTCCCGCTCAATCCTACATAAAGGCGATTTATTTCATTTCTTTGCAAAAACCGCCAACCGGAAGAAATTCTACATTTATTTTAAATTAATGCATTCGATCAGCAAAAATTTGAAGGAAAACGAATGCATGATTCAGATTTTTGATTAAATAAAGATCGTTTTGAAAACTAAAATATGCAATATAAATAAAACATTAAAAAACACTCTGTATGTGTTCTTTCGAAGGCTCTACTTAATAGCTTTCGGCCAAAAGAAGCTTTGGCTTAATTTTAAAGAAACCTCGCGTTTATACTTATATACAGTATGTTTAGCACAGGTGACCAATCATTTTGTTGGCAACAAGAACAGTGTCTTCAATCGCTTTGCGTACGCGTAAATTCAATTAATTAATGTTTTCCTTTAAAGGAACCACAAATTATCTAGAAAAGGGCTTACAAATATACTGGGTGTTTGAAAAATCCAAATTTTTATCGCATACAAATTCTTTTCATGTGATCAATATGAAAGTGCCATTGAGAAACTTTCGGTTTATGGACATGTGGGGTCTTTACTCATAAGCTTTGGCTAAGTCCGTGTTCAACAATAACGAAAATAGTTTTTTATAGCAAAAATGCTCTTAAGTTTGGAGAAATCCATAGTTGAAAACAAAACCAGTTATTAATTCTAATAGGTCAGTTTGTTTAAAACTATTTAATCAGAATGTTTCTACCCTAAAAAGTTTTCTGCAAGATTTTTCATTTTTTCTCAGCTCCTGAACAATTGAAATAATCATCATAAGTCAAACTGTTTTGGTTTAGCTTCTTTGATCGAGTGTTTTGAAAAATTTAAATAAAATTTAACTGCACTTTAAATGGTCTTCTTGGACCATTAAAGTGTCGTACTTGAGCGATGTTTTTTTTTTGAGAATGCAAGACCTGCCAGTTTGATGAGCATTTATGAGCAGCAAATCGTGACAAACTATGGATTTTGAGCAATCTTAGAATGAGCTTTGTTGGGCAGAAAATGAGATCAAAGACACATTTTAAAGCGAACAGGCAAGCAGTTGCTGGTGAAAATACAAATTTGTGGGCCACTGTGTAGCATTTCCAACTATAATTTAATAAGAGCAGTTTTGCTCACAGAATTCTTTTTTGAATCGTGGGTTTTTAGAAAGTGAAAACTCAAAAATCTGTGCTCTGAAATGGTCGAAAACAACGTGTGTGTCATACATGGGCAAATTATGAAGGTGCAAAATCTGATCAGAAACCAGTCAAACTGTGGATAAAGTAGACATTGAACAGTCCGCTGAGCATGACCGGCTTTGTCCTCAATCGTAGACGTGTTGTTTTGTCGTTTGATGTTGTACGATCATCACCTTGCATGTTAGTGAGTACTGTAGAGTCTATAGAGTGTAGCTCTCAATGCACAAAAAATCCTTAGAAAAAATTAAGCGGCGCGTTTTATATTTTAATAATGACATATTATATAAAACTATTTTAGTATACGCGTGAATCTAGATTTAAAAGCTTCTTGCTGGCGGGATCTGGACGAGTTCTGGACAAGGGTCGAACTGGTCCGGCCTGCCCGAACGGCAATTAATAAATATTGTAATCTTTAATAAAAACATAAACTGCTCAATATGGTTGAAAGAGTTCTATCGGTTTCGGGGTGTAGAACGACGCGATTTTTTAGGCAAATTGAATGTGTGCAATAAGATGCATCCAGTGAAATGTGGTGTTACTGTTTAAGTAGGTAATGTGCAATGCTAGGACAAGTTTGAAGCGTCGTTTACCAAGGGTTTGACTTTTACTGGTGCTGGTAGCAACCAATAAATATTTTTAAAAAGTCTTCCCTCCCGAATCACTTTTTATATACAGTTATCCTAAGGAAAAAAGCGTCTTTCGGATTTTTAAGGTTTCGCGGCTTCTTGGTTTCGTTCGGTAAGCGCTGGAGGACGGATATTGTGCGTAGACGACGTAGACGCTTGCAGCTTTATCAGTATTCGCCCTCCCAGAAGATTTATTCAGAGCGACGATATTGGCACGCAACTACACCGTTTGGGGGCGATTCTAAAAGACTTTCCACACCTTTTTCATTATCATTCATGTTGGGACGCAGTTCATTAAGAGCAAGACCCAGTCCCAAATCAAGCAACTTTTGTGCATGTGCGAACATAAAAATTCAACTTCAAGACTTGATTTCTTTTACTCAACTTAAGCTGAACGTATTTCGCCATACAAGAGCTGAAGTAGATAGAAAACATTGTTAGCGGCACAGTGGAGACTTTTATCTAACTTTGATTGGAAATTTTACTTCAGGGGGTCTCTAAACGCTTTGCGCCAATATGCAAAGTTTTAGAGCCTAATTGCTTTCAACCCACATAATTCAACACAAAATTGCCCTCTTTACAAACTTCTGCAACAAATCATAGACTTTTCGCTTAGACGAATTTGCCTTCCAAAAATCGACTGGAAATTATTTGGATTGCTTGTTTCAATTTTTTTGCAGCATCAATGTCATCTGGGTCTTTTCCTCATCTTCTTCTTCATTAAACGCATGAAAATGCAAATTTTTTCATTAATGGAAAACTTCATTTTACATTCTTTGTTCATCCTCTACCAAATTATTTTTATTTAGTTTCCTATCGTCACTTCAGCAAAGCTTCAAAAGCCAAATTTTATTGGCTATTTCCTAGTGAGCTTTCACGAAGACATGACTTGGTTTCAACTCCAGGAACAGAATGTTGCGAAGAAAGTTGTTTTTCTTAGGCACACGTTTCGATTATATTTTAGTCACCATCAGGGATCTTGAAGAAACCCCAGAACTTTTAGGGTCTAAAATGGCAAATTTAAAAATCAAAGAAAACATAATTAAATGACGACGACAGCAGTTCACACTACAAAAATTAAAAAGTAATGAAATAATTATTAAAACAAAAAAGAGAGCAACAATTTCAATGATACTGATGGTATCAGTGCGATCAAATAGAATATAGAATATGGTTTTGTACGATTTTATCTAATTTTAGAACAAAGTTCTTCTCCATTTTTTCGTCTTATAACCGTGTAAAATGGCCATTTTGTGGAAAGACGCGGATAACAATTAAAATTTTAACCACAAACAAATAAATAAAATTACGTAAAAATCAAATTAAAATGTGAACAAACAAAAACACTCTTTAAAAATTAGAATTAGCTTTTGATAAAAATGGATGACAAATCTGTGCATCTTTTATTTTTAATAATTAATGTGTCTCTTCAATATTTCTTTGTTGTTTTTTCACTGAATTATCATTTCCACACACTCTGATCTCTTCCAGAACCCTAACGATGTCTAAAATATCACCGAAACTTTCGTTTCATAAGCGCTGGTTCTTCCGCAAATCGTTGACCGAAAAGCCCATGATTCTGGGAACTGAACTAATAATAATAAATTTATAGAGAAACTAAAAGAAACAAATGTAGGAGAAATTAAAAAATTTGCAACTTAAATTAATTTGAAAGCAAATGCTTGGCTTTGAAGGATTAATTTATTCTGGGGGACTCGAAGCCCTTGGTGAAAAGTTGAAAGTTTCAAAATTTGCATCCGTTCACTCGCCCTTTCCTTGGCATGCTCTAGCTTTGAAACCAAGACCTTTTCATTGTCGCTATCATCATCATCATCCCTTGCATTATCTTCATCTTATCATCATCACCATCATCATTCTTTGCACTATCATCATTGTCATCATCATCCTTTGCATCATCA